TAAATGTGCGAATAGTCGAGGAACGGAGAAATCTGATTTCTTTTTATTTTCTGGCATGCCAGGTCATAATATCAACCAAGTATGAGAAAACTGTGGCTTTGATGTCCCATGATACTTAAAAAACTCGTAATTTACCCATTGCCTTAACTCAGTTTCTTAGTTTTCGTAAATGCTAACACGGAAATACTACCTTTTCAAGGATTGGAGTGGATGTGTTATAATTGGATACAGTTCTTAATAAGAAATATTTAATGTAGGCCCATCCTGCGTCTCATCTATTTTCCGCTATTGGCACCCGTGCGGTTTTTGCAGACGTGAAATCCAATATTTGCAAAAACATCCCTTTGCCAGTTGCACATCCTGCCACTTTCTTTTACAGCAATGCTTTAAGTTGTGACAAGCTATGTAATAAGTATATGGACACAGCTTTATGAAACAACAATTACTAGCTTTTTCCTCGAGGGTACCAAGATACTGTTAAGGTGTTGAGCGATGTTATAGAAGACCGAGAGCATTATGAATAGCCGAGCCTTGATGGTTTTTCGTGGATTTTTATTGTTGCTCTGACAAAGATGGGTGTCGACTTGATCTCAGCCTGAATTTAAGTTGATGGGTTATATGGTTACTTGATTGAAGTTCTTTAGCTTCTTGTCCAATCCGTCTTTATGTATGCTCATTGGGTTTTACGTAGTCTCCTGTAAGTTTTGTGACAGTTTCTTGGTACTCTTTCTTATCCATGATGTCTGACTTTTCCCCTATCTGCGATGATCTGTCACTTGGTGTCTCAGGTAGTTTAAATGTCCTCCTGGTGCTAATTGGTGTAAGTCACGTTCTATGTTGACGAGGAAGCTTTTTAGTTTGGTAACTGGAGAAAACTTTAGGCCTCGGGAGAGGAGGATTATCTACGCATCTGTAAGATACTTCTAGCTTAAGATTATAACAGTTCATTCTTTTGGTTGTGGTTTTGAGGATGGCTTTCACGTCTTGATATTGACGTTTTTGGTTCCTGTGGTGCTTTCTTTCCTTTAGCTGGGCATGACTAGAATCTAGAATCTTATTAGTTGCTAAGGAATAAAGTGGCGAACGTTGAGATAACCCCATAGGAATAAGCATATTGTCCCTACATCTGGACTCAGACCACTAAAACTTTTTATGTAAATGATTGTATTATTTTTAGAAATCCTCTTTCTAATTCCTCCCTTGTGGGTTTTTGCATGCCTATTTTTGACTAATTTTTGGTCTAAATTTGGAATTTAATGTCTGAAATTGCATTTTCTTTCAGATTTTGTGAGTTGATTAAATGTAGTGGTGTACTTTCAATTTGGTTAGCTCAAGATTTTCATGGTCATGATATATTGAATTTTTGTCCACACACTAAGTATTGGCCAGGCTTTTATGTTTTCAACGAGATGTCTGGAAAAGGTTATAGAAGGTTGAATTTCGCGATTTAACAGATGGCAAACGAATTACCGGTCTTAATAAAAATGTTAAATTTTGTAAGAAGTGCTGTAATTTATAGTACAAGGAATAAGGTGTTATAGGACATACACTCCTTTGGTTTACAATGAAGACTGTTGGAGGTACATGCAAATACCATAATATATATCATAACATTACATATTTCAAACAAGGAAACTAACACGTGCTTGGAACAATGGTGGAAATTATAAGTATATACATCTGATAATATTTATTGCGTGCCAGGAGGGTAATTAATTTCTATCTCCTAATTCCTGAGACTAATTGATTCCAGGGTTAATAGCTACTTATTACTACACATTTCAGTGTATTTGAAGTATGTTTGATACATCAGTAAAATCATGGTCCAGAAATAACGTGTGTCAACGTTTGGCCACTATTCTCTCGAAATATAAATGGAACATCCAACGTCTCAGTAGTATAAAAAAATGTCCATGCAGTTTTTCTGTCTTCTCCGGTCACCGCGTAGAATTTTGTTTATTTTGATAAGGTTGCACAAACTATAAATAACAGTGAAACTCTTCACTGTTGCAATATGAACTTTTCTAACCATAATAGGCAATCTCTAGGTACAATCGAACATATGAGCAAATGATTATTTTGCAGTAGGCCGAGGTAAAAACCTCAATGTATAATTCGACAAAGCATCGGAATAACTCATGATATAAACACTACTTTTTGGAAATTGTTTCAGAAAGCTTTTCGGAACCCCCTGCCACTTTTAGTTAGGCGGGGGAAAGTAGTATAGTCCCATGACTTTAGCAAATGTTCCACCTCTTTCATCTCTGAATAACTTCTGGACAAGCCTCTTTAAGTACAACATCATTTCCAAGCCAAAAGAACACCAAAACATAGAGCTAAAAGTAGATAATTGCATAATTTCGCATGTGATCCAAAGGCTATCTCACATCTCAGGACAAATTGTGATGTTTAGATTATTGGCAAATGTCTTAAAGGAGGCTGGTGTCAATATTCCTTTACGTAATGGCAATGTCAATTAACCATGTTTTGTTTTTTAAGTGCTGTATTTGCAGTATTCTATTCCAGTTACATAATTTCAATTTCAAATTCCAGTTATTGCAGTAAGGTATAGTCATTGATTAGCGTCAATATCTAATTACAGGAACTTAAGATTTCTCAATGTCAATGTCCTTTTAGTAATCGTATGGATGTCATTTCGGTAACTGAATTTCCATGATGTTTCAGTTACCCCATTCCGTTTCAGTAACTTAATGTCCATGCCATATCATTCTGTTTCAGTTACTTAATGTCCATGCCATATCATTCCGTTTCAATAACTTAATGTCCATGCCTTATCATTCCGTTTCAGTAACTTAATGTCCATGCCATATCATTCCGTTTCAGTAACTTAAAGTCCATGTCATACCATTCCGTTACAATAACTTAATGTCCATGCCATATCATTCCGTTTCAGTAACTTAATGTCCACGCCATATCATTCCGTTTCAGTAACTTAATGTCCATGCCATATCATTCCGTTTCAGTAACTTAAAGTCCATGTCATACCATTCCGTTACAATAACTTAATGTCCATGGCATACCATTCCGTTTCAGTAACTTAATGCCCATGTCATACCATTCCGTTTCAGTGACTTTATGTCCATGCCATATCATTCCGTTTCAGTTACTTAATGTCCATGCCAAATCATTCCATTTCAATAACTTAAAGTCCATGTCATACCATTCCGTTACAATAACTTAATGTCCATGGCATACCATTCCGTTTCAGTAACTTAATGCCCATGTCATACCATTCCGTTTCAGTAACTTAATGTCCATGCCATATCATTCCGTTTCAGTAACTTAAAGTCCATGTCATACCATTCCGTTACAATAACTTAATGTCCATGGCATACCATTCCGTTTCAGTAACTTAATGCCCATGTCATACCATTCCGTTTCAGTGACTTAATGTCCATGCCATATCATTCCGTTTCAGTTACTTAATGTCCATGCCATATCATTCCGTTTCAGTTACTTAATGTCCATGCCATATCATTCCGTTTCAGTTACTTAATGTCCATGCCATATCATTCCGTTTCAGTGACTTAATGTCCATGCCATATCATTCCGTTTCAGTTACTTAATGTCCATGCCATACCATTCCATTTCAATAACTTAAAGTCCATTTCACATGATTACTTTTCATTTACTCATATGTCCATTTCGTTTCAGTAACTTAATGTCCAATTCGGTACAGTAACTCGATATTAAACAGTATTTCATTGATACAATTAATTCTTATCAAGGAACTCGACTGTCTTGTGACATCTATCATAAAATTATTGATATGTAATAGGTACGAAACTCGCAGCTCGTAGATAACACTTCTATTTCTTATCTTGCCAAATCCCTTTCAAAATTGATTAAGAGGGGCTGAACATAATTAATGGGCTCTCAAGTGTCGGTCTCATACTGTGAGATTAGCACTGAAATTGCTATCATTATTCATTATGTGCAATATATGTTAACTAGACGTACTCTGTAAGAACAATTATGATATTATAACATATTACATAGCAGCTTATCCTCAAATCTTATATCCTACGCATTTTCTTATCGTTCTCATCAGTTCAGCTACTGAATTCTTTTTCCCATTTTAATTCAGTACAATTATCACATTAATGCATCAACCTCGCCCAAAAGTTCGACAAAAACAATATTGATAACTACTGTTATCAACTAACAACTCGTGTATATATTCACACTATAATATTACAAGATAGGTTGATGGTTTATCTGGAAACGTCATCAATAACATATCATGTGAACCGGTTACTCAGGGTTAGAAATTTTATTAAATTCTAATCCACGTTTCAAACCGATCAAAATATAGTACTACAAATATGTCAGAATGACTCAGACTATGATTACCACCGCGATCAGGAATCTACTGGTTCAAATCACAAATTTTCTATTACTGTAAATAAATAAAGAAATAATTTTCAGGGAGGAGTTTGGTATCAATAGACTTGCTAGTCTCGATTAGTCAATCGTAATCCCAACTCCAGATGATTACGTATTTCTTATGGTTCTCGAAGTTAAAAAACGTGTACTGGATGACGATATCTAAAGACTGATAATACAGGTAAGAAACTTTCGTAGGTTCCATCTTTTCCTTCCATCTGAGTCAGTAATCTCTTCCCTAGCAACGACTACTTCCGAAGGCGTGCACTATCTTTTCTTAACCAAACGCGTTAACGGAACAGCTCGTCAGTCACATGGTACCACGACATATATGGCGAAGGCATGTAGATATCTGAAACATGAAACCTAGGTAACGGCCAAGTTTTCGGCAGCTGAGTAGGCAAGACTACTAGTTTCGTATTGTACTGCTCATCCTTTCTATCGAAGCTTGCCGTGAAAGTCGTGAGGTGTTCTATTTAGCCAACCGGTACCACACTTTGTCCAGTTCCTTGGCAGGCATTACAAACTAAGGGATCACACTTACAACAGTTTTTATTCTTTTAGTGGACAGTGTATTTTAGAAAACATTCGCCATGGCTATCATAGCAGCACCAAAGGGCATGGATCGTGCCTTGATCACAAAGGTGAGGAATTTTTTCTAGTGTTTTTTAATACTTTTTTATTTCGTGCCAATAATGTCAAAGTGGAATATTGAGAGATCTAATTTCAAGATAAACCTTCCTTATCATCAATAGCACTCTTCTATCTACCAGATCACCACTATCAGCTCATCATATGATTTTTAACCAGAAAAACCTACTTCCTCCTGAAAATATGCTACTTCACACCTGTAGGCCGCCATTACACCGTTTTTGGGCAAGATGTAATGCGATTCCCAAATGCATAGCTATGCACTCAAAACGCCTTGATACTATAATGTTATGTATTCACTACATAGTGGTTACAAATTACACTCCAAATATTATTTTGCAAATTTGAAGAAAATTAAACTGACATTAATAATGAACAATGTCAAGGTCATTATGTCCATTAAAATTATCTATATATAGATTCGACTATCAGGAACCATTATTCTATCTTTTCTAATGCCTTTACCATTGTGATTCTCCAAATTGTTAGTATATGAATGTGCACAAATGCCAAGCTTTAAATCTAGGCACCCAAACAAACAAAATGCACCCACCTTTTCTAAAATATGTGTTTAGTTCATCCACAGAAAACACACTTGACTAGGCTAAGCAAAATTATTTTAGTGTATTATTTATACCTGAACAATCTATTTACCAAACGAACAAAAAACAAACAGTAGTGAAACGACTACGTCTTTAGTTTTTCTTACAAAAATTGCTCAAACTTAACAATCAAAAGCTAATCAATAACTCTCGAAATGACAACAATGGCATCAAACAGGCCATTCCAGCAAAACGCCTTGGAAAATCGGTATCAATTACATAATAATCAAATTTCATCACTTTCTTTCAATCTCCTTCCCAGAGCCAAGCCCTCCTACGCATACCTTTCTTAGAATAAATTATCATGTATTCAAAAGGTTCTAAATGTTGATTTCATCAAATAAGCGAAATAACTAGCATTACCTAATATGATCATTAAGTAGTGAAGTTATAGAACATAGCGTCTAGGTAGTTAGGATATACGATAGTGAAAACAGTAGGCATTTATTCATCAGAGGTGAAAGGTAGTTCTTAAAATAGCTCGCTCACTAATAAACCTACTTCTGTCTGTATAGTTCATTAGAACCTGGTGGTAGTATTGTATCCTTGGTGGAGTGAAACAGCCAACCTGTTCATTTCTTCACCAATTCTTTTAAATGTTTTTAAAGATGCGCCCGGAATTATACCTACCAGTCACTAAACGTAACTGCTGGACTATATCTTTGACTTAATTTGATTTAAGTCAATTATTTTAATCTATTACGGGTACTGGTTCTTTATATTCGAGAATTAATGATACGAATTCTGCAGTTGGTACCTTTAAGATATTAATAAAATGCAATAGACAGAAACTATCATGATCAAGTAAATCGGTGACTTATTAAGCTATCGATTCGGGTGACCATAATGCTATACTGCTTCAATTCCTTATGGACAAATATTTATATTCCAATCAAACCACCAAAATTTTCCACTCTTCTAACATTTCGTTATACTGGTCGCTATTTTCCTTGCATACACCATGTGTAATGATTTACAATATTTGATACATACACAAGCAATTGGAAACAAGTAGATATTTGATATATATCTTGAAAAACTCTGGGAATATAGTACTCCTCTTGTCAAAAAGAAGCTAGAACACATCTCTTCAAAATACCAAATCAGTCATTGACAATCTTTTAACAAAAGTAGACATTGTACATTAAATGACAAAGTTAGCTTTAATAAGAATTCCTCAATAATCTCTTAACGAAAGAAGGCAAAGCACGTCTCTTGGTAAAAAGTCTCTATAATAATCTCTTGCCAAAAAGTAGGTATAGGTCTATCTTAGGTTTGAAACATCCCTTGTCAAATACCGCTCCTAGATTTAATAAGGTTCTTCATGTAATGCAGAATATGTACATCTCTTGCCTCAAGCACTAAACTGTGAGCACAATAGCCACAAATGCTTTGGGGGAGGGTGGGGAAATTCAACAGAGTGGCTCTAAATGATTGAAATGCATGTTTCACTAAATTATACCGATTCAAAATATGTATTCGATGCTTCATTCCTGTGCGATATTTTAGGTGGCAATTTTTAGCTTGCCAAATTCAAATTTAATCAGTCTAAATCCTCATGGGGATTCTATGGCAGTATCAGTGATTAATTTATGCACCAAAATTTGAACATTTAATCTTTCTTTTACAATTTAAAGTGATTCAAATTAAAGATTCAAATATAATTGAATACTTAACTATATTTTAACTGTGAAGTGGTGTTCTATGAATGTTATGGCTTATTAATATCAAGATATTTCAAATATGCAAAAAAAACCAGGCGAGTGATGCCTCAATCGTATACAATCGTCTAGAGTTTCCCATGAAATCCTTTGATTTTTGATGACGATATTCAAATGAGACAAAGATTAGTTCCCCGTGTGGTGCTAGATAGCTAGTGTCCGATTTCAGGGAATTTTGAGACTTGTGGTTGTAAGGGCTATACTCTTAATTAATATAAAGGAAGGGAGAAACGACAAGGCCTAATAGGGTCTCCATGCTCTCCTTAATATGGACCATCTCAGTTGTTTCGTTTCCTGACTATTTGTGGGGAGTTATTGGTCATGAATGAATATTTAGGACAGGTCAAACTGACATCATATGCTGTGTTTTGCTATTTGTGAAAGAGAGCACGAATAATTCCTAAAATGATGTTATTATTCTTATAAAATATATTTATACTAGGTCGGCTGGCATATTTCTTGAATTACATTTCATCCCTTATCAACACTTTAACCGGTAAACAGCAGCCGACACGCGTCAGATTCCTGTAGCAGCCGAACATTTCACCAGATGTTTTATCGTCTGCTGGTTTATCAGACTATACTCTAAAAGAAGACGATGTATACCAGAGGCAAACAAGGAATCGATTCTTTTCCCTATCTGATTTAATTAAATACATACAAAACATAAGTGATAAACGCATTTTTCTTACACCGATATATCACACATTCACACTAACTTAAAACCAAGGAATTGAGTTAAGCAATACTCTTTTGAGTATTTAACCATGCCTACTTTTGTCAAAAGATTGTCAAGGGATGAATAATACTTACTTGTATTGAGAAGAGATGTGTTCTACAACAAGAACCACTTACACGAAAATTCTTCAACTGATTAGGAATGTTTTCATGGGCAAAAGAAGAAAGAAAATCTGCTCAAGACTCAACAATTCCATGCTCACGTGGCAATTTAAAAATCCATATGCACCGTCAGATGAAACCCGATTAAAAAGAAATTATTCATCAAATATTGTGTAAATATAATATAAGAATAAAGAGCAGAAGCATTAAGAACGTTCGATCCATACCAAACGAAAAGAGGCAGGATGATAAAAGCACATATAAGGAAAGGGATCTCTGAGTCTCCATATGACTCTGTAAGATATGAAATTGTATTCTGTTGGCTCGCTGAGGACCATAATCCACACTATTTTGAAAGTAGCGTTTACATCTCAAATAACTTGAGTTGAATCATCTCGAGCATACAAGCACACCACGTCTCAAAGCCGGACAGTAATCTGCTTCTAACCGATTTCGACCTTTCTTCGACGGACTGAATACTAGAATTAGTGAACCCCAAACAAAAAAACTATACGAATTAAGCAGAATACTTGTGTTGAATGACGAATGTTTGTTCTCTCGGCATTAATTCCGGCTTTTCGCATCATGAAAAACTACCATTGGCTTTAATTTTAATTAACGTATGTTTCAACAAGTACTGTCTACTATGTCTCGTTCGGTGAGAAAATATATGAATACAACCATTCGGCAAACGAGGCTGAAGATGCATCTGTTTATTCTCACAGTTAAATGACCACCATAATCTATAGAATTTCTACGTAACCTGTTTCTTCCACAAGAAAGAAAATAGGACAATTTTTCTATTCATAGATCCAAAATGTTATTAAAATTTAAGGCTCATTTGAATTAGAGAATTCACAAACAAATCGTAAGCTCTAAGGCTAATCAATAAAAAATATCAAACTAAAGTATTTCGAAAGCTAATAAGCAGAAATGAATGATGTAACATTGATGAACGTATGACGTAATCGGAAGCAGAAATTCCTTTATTCGGTAACGACAAAAATACACTACACTTTTCTTCTTGGCAGAGTAACCACTAGGCAGATACGACGCCATTTTGAAACCTAGGCTTCTTTAACACAGCTGGGAACTAAATTTTACAAAATTTCGATGAAATAGGAGAATATAACAGAAAACCAAGTACGACAGAAGAATAATCCGAACTAAGCTAAATTGAGTAAATATGTATTCAAGTTCGCAGTGCAACCATGGCATCGTTATCTAAAGATAGACTGCTGAAACCTGATACCTCATCACAAACATCTCGTCTGTTCTCAATCACGATTAACCAGTCACATGTTATTGATATTTACGTTCAGCCAACATTATCCAGACATTCTGAAATGTTTTGAAAGGCGAAATGTTATTAATAGAATGAGATTCTAGTGAGTCGCTTTTTACCAGATTGTTAACTGAAAATTACCTGAATTTCTGAACTGATTCTGAAAAACTCTCTTCTTAACCAACTTTATTTTTAACCAAGCGGCACGTTATATTGTAATGAAGGACATATCGGCAGGAAGTGAAATGTTGCATAAATAATTATTTAATTAAATAATTATCAGAATATAAATTTCTCGCGTGGAATCAACCCCATTTATTTCCAATATTACATAATATTATAATAATATTGGATACGTAGCAGTTTATGCTCTTTTGTATTATGCTAAATTAAATAACTCTTTGTAGTTCATTAAGCGAAATATGTTGAAATTACCATAAATGTACAAGCTCATTGACAAACCAGAACAGCAGTACATAAGCTAAATTTTCTTTCAGTGAATTTTTTGTCGTGTTCATAAAGCGAAATGTTTTAAACAATTGCTAATCTGTCCAATTTGCATACATTGTTGTAATATTTTAATCATAAAAGAAATGGATTAGGATAAGGGAACTTTTCTTTCATTTAGTGAAGGCATTCGCTGAAGATGCAAATGCCTTCACTAAATTAAAGTGAAACAATTATTGATTCAAATCTATAATATGTCACAAACAGATATTTTATTTTTGTATGTCATAAAGTAGCATTCAAAAGTCCCGACACCTTGTTTGTCTAAGGTCATCAGTTAATATAGAGCATTAGACTGTGGATCAACTACAACAGGGACTGATTCAACCAAGTCCACGGGAAACAATTCCAAGAGGCCCCATCCCTAGAAAAAAATGAAGGAGAGCCTATTCAAAAAAAAAAAAAAATTCCTGTGGAAGATGACCCTACCCAATTAAGCACATCCTATATTTTAATTCCAGATGGGCGCCAAATACGACACAGCAGCCGAAGCTGAAGTAAGGCAATGGATAAAAGAATTATTAGATATTGATATTGGTACCGGTACATTTGAAGTTGAGAAGAATCTAAGAAATGGTGAAACTTTAATGAAGTAAGTAAATGTTGTTGAATTGACAGATTCTCTTATTTCCATCTTGTCTTCTTGGATATTAAAGACCATTGGAGTCTATTTCAATTGATCAATTCAATGATTTTTCCCCCACCATGACGTCATAGGCAAAGGAACACAAAAAAGTTCAATGTTTGTTGCTGTTGGAATGCCAATTTCTAAGGGATGACGTCCTGGCTGATTATCGTTTTGACAAGTCAAGACCTTGCCTCCTCATTTTTGATTTCCACCTATCGAGGATTCTTAAACGTGCACAGAAGAATCACAAAATCAGAGTTGATAAAGTTCGATGAAGTACAATCAATGATCGGCTCCACAAAAACACTTAATAAATAATTCTAGCTATCGGGTGTACCGGAAAACTCGGAGTTACTTGCATCACAGTTAGAGTGAAATATCATTTAACAATGGTGACACATCTTCATCGTTGAAGTTTAAAAAATTCCACATCATAAGTTTTACCTGCAACGTGGAAAACACTAAAGATTTTATACTTTTATACCACAATGCGGAAAACATATTTCAAAATCAAAGTATAAGGCTGGTATATGAAAAACATCGATAGTTTTCGAATGGAATACCAATCTCCACAGTTCTTCGTTTGTTTGTATTGTCATCTCATAAAGTTGTTTGTAAAATACAGGACACTTTGTTTGTGTGGTTTTTTACTGTTTTTGTGGTTGCTGTATGTAAAATCAAATTGTTTGTCCGAAAATGGAGATGCTGCTTTGTTATCAACAGTACTGGATTAGCCGCTACAACCGGAGTATTCCTTTAGTACTTGATGCTAGATTTCTGATGAAGTGATTTACGATCTTATTGACGAATAACAATTCCCCGAACCTTTACTGCATTCATGTGTCACATTAAAAAATCCATACATACATATTACATAGCAGACTCATTAATATCAAATCATTGTGCAAATTAATTCAAGCACTATGCATTTTCGAGTGCATTATAACCTTTATGATCAGATTTGACGTTTCCTATCTATGGTAGCTTTAGTTGTCGTAAAAGTGCCCTTATTATCAGAGCAACCCCCTCCCTACAATCCGATATTATTCAAATGAAATGAAATGAATGGAGTTTTACGTCCTACTTTTCTGCACCATGTCGACGTTATTCAAGATCATGATGTGATATTGTTACTGTCCATAAGACAATGTATGTATTACATCAAAATCCAATGTTGCTTCAATTCCTAAATTGATTTCAGATTGATTAAGAAAATCTACGAAGGAACACCAAACAAACCACCAGCATGTGATAATATCAGAATTAAAGTTAATCCCCCAACTTCTCACTTCAAACAGGTTCGTATCAGTTCGATATTAATTTAAAGATTTCTTTTAAATACTGTCTTCTATTATAACCATGTGTGGCAAAACAAGTAAAGATGGCACTTTCAGCGAAAACACTTGGGTCAAATGTCTTGACCATTTAGTCTCCCGGATTACCGTACCCAAATGACTTGGAAAGCAGGAATTCGCCCTTTCAATACACACAAGAGAGATTTAGAAAACAAAACTATTCTCTAGTAATTTATCCTGTTGTATGTATCAATTGTTTATAGCATCCTTAATGTAAATGGTTTCTATTGCAGATGGAAAACATTGAACTCTTTTTGAAAGCGTCGAATGCCTATGGTGTGAAGCAGTCTAGTTTGTTTCTAACATCAGATTTATTTGAAGGTAGAAACATGGCTATGGTCTTAGCAACAATTTTGCAAGTAGGAACCGAAGTAAGTCCATTTGAATCATTTTTATTATTCTACATACAATAGCAGTGTTAATACCATTCTCATAACTCTTCTGTCATTTTCAATATACTTTATGGTAGAAGAACTTCTAATATACACAACGTATTGGATGGAGTACCTGTATAAGGTAGTAGCACATATCCATTTCAATGATTATTTGGACCAATGTGGATGTATTGACGTAGGATGTCATAGTGTTTTACATTATCACTCCATTATTCATTATTTTGAATAAAAGGGATTATTTTAAGTCCTCGGCATTATCTTTTAGGCACAACGACATGGTTTCGAAGGTAAAACTTGTGGATCTAAACCTACTGAAAAGCACAGAGTTGTATTTACCGAAGAACAGCTAAGAGCAGGAGATACCATTATTGGCCTTCAAGCCGGAACAAACAAATTGGCTTCACAGAAGGGTATGACGATCGGTGGAGTACGTCACGTTGCTGATATTAAGGCTGATGATTGTCTCCGAGAGGGTCAAGGTGTAATTGGTCTCCAATCCGGAACTAATAAATTTGCTTCACAGAAAGGAATGTCTTTCGGAGCTGTACGTCACATCGCCGATATCCGTGCTGATGATGCCATCCAAGAGGGCCAGGGAGTGATTGGTCTCCAATCTGGTACCAACAAATGCGCCAGTCAAGCCGGTATGGTTATGGGGGCTGTGAGACATGTATCAGATATCAGAGCTGATGATGCTGTACAAGACGGACAGGGTGTCATCGGCTTGCAGTCAGGAACAAACAAATTTGCCAGCCAGAGTGGCATGTCTTTCGGAGCTGTCCGTCACATCGCTGACATCCGAGCTGATAATGCCGCCCAAGATGGTCAAGGTGTTATTGGTCTCCAGTCCGGAACAAACAAATTCGCTTCACAGAAAGGTATGTCTTTTGGAGCTGTACGTCACGTGTCCGATATCAGAGCTGACGATGCTGTTCAAGATGGCCAGGGTGTTATTGGTTTACAATCTGGTACAAATCAATTTGCCTCACAGAAAGGTATGATGGGTATGGGAGCCATGAGACACATTTCAGATATTAAAGTTGAAGATATGGCCGCAGACTCCAAATCAGCTATTAACCTTCAATACGGTAATCCATCCGGGGCTAACCAATCTGGTATGTCCTTCGGTGGTAGAAGAGATATCTTAAAACCAAAGCCAATTGAAATCCAAGAAGACGAGTAATCTGTATTCTTTAAATGTATTAGAATCTGTTCCGTGGAAGGTGATGAATACCAATAGGACACGAAAGGAAACAAAAATATCCCATGCATCAAAACAATGATTACCAAATCAATGGTTACTTTCGCTTCTTTTTTAATTTTTTGTCAGATTTTTGAACTATCTGTATTTTGTTCTCTTGAAAAACAAACTGTATATATATCAGCTTTCTTATTTAAGTTCCTTAACGTCACGCAACTATAACATACTCATGTGCTCAATTTCAAAAGTCTAGGTAGTTGCATGTATGAAGTGAATTAGTTGTGCCAATCTCTGCCCATTTCCTAAGATCATTTGTAGTTGATCAAGTTCACATAAGCCCGGAAACTTGCCAGTGCCCAACCCCAAATCTCTACTACATATCATTCGATAGTCTTCCACTGAGAAAATAACCGATAAAAATGTTGAATTAATCTTAATATAAGTCATCGGCTGCTTCTGATTTGTCATATTTGAATTAATTTCAATGGTTACCTTGTAGTTAAAACAAAAATAATCCACGAGGCCTTTTACTTTGTCCGTCCAAAACATGTAAAAGATGGATATAGAAAGAGAGTTTCTAGTTGCCAAAAGTAGTTTACCAAACCTTTTTGGACTGTTAGTGCCTGAACAAAGTAGGCATCTTTTGATTTATTTTGTAAGAAAATATATTTGTTTCAGTTTTTTTCGATGTAAAAATTTGAAAAATTATTTGTACGCTTTATTTTATATGTTTTATAAATATGCTAAAGAAATACTCATCATCGCTCTAGTGAAGATTTAACACTCGAAAGACTTCCAAATACACGCTGAGACAAGCGATACAACTTCTAATTTTTGATGAACAAGTTTTTTATTTCACTTTTTCACATTTTAGAATTAAGTGGTTCAAAGCGTATTTATGATTGAATAAATTATTGTTCATTGATGGTCTGTGTTTCTTTCTATGAGGAAAACAATTACTTAGGGCTGGAAAATATGAAAGCACCACCTACTGTGAACCTCATTTGACTCAAACCTGGCCTGTATCATAGGATATCACACATACTCGATATGCGTCGGTCAATATCATACATACCCGACATGCGTCATCTGCAGTCGGTCAATATCATACATACCCGATATGCGTCAACTGCAGTAGGTCAATATCATACATACCCGACATGCGTCATCTGCAGTAGGTCAATATCATACATACCCGATATGCGTCAACTGCAGTAGGTCAATATCATACATACCCGATATGCGTCAACAGCAGTAGGTCAATATCATACATACCCGATATGCGTTAACTGCAGTAGGTCAATATCATACATACCCGATATGCGTCAACTGCAGTAGGTCAATATCATACATACCCGATATGCGTCAACTGCAGTAGGTCAATATCATACATACCCGATATGCGTCAACTGGGTAGGTCAATATCAAACATACTGGCGAGATTAACAATTAATTCCAACAATTTCACAATGCGACGACAACAAAGAATGGACACGTTCAAATACGCCCTCTTATAGTCTTAAGCATGTTGTTGACGAAACGAGCAACTTTTCTACCTTCATACATGGTTTTATAACAAACATAGGTTGACAACTTAAGGAAGCTACTGCATTTTCATTTTTGATATATAGAATGGTTAAGTCGCAAATTGTCCAACTTTATTTTAATGACCATCTACATATCATATATACCGGTTAAAAGATGAAGATGTTATTACAGTTTTAATATGCATGATTATAGTTCGTAACTTGGGGTTGATATTCAAAAAAGAGAATCGATTTAGCATTATTGCCCACGTATTATTTCTCGTAATTTTGCTATTTTTTCATACTCTGTTCTCGTTGCTACGTCAGAACATTGGCAAATGTCCGAAAGACACTTGAAAACATATTGCTTTTAACATGTTGTGGGTCAGAAAATATAAATTGCCAAAATAAAACCACCAAAAAACATCATTCAATTTCTTACATGCAAAACAAAATGTTTTGAACATTATTTTCACTAATCTGCAATACATGTATTACATATTCTACATTTTCTTTTTCGTCTTTTACGTTGATTGCAATATTAACCTTTCATGTATCACGGAAAGTAGCGATTTGATTGGATTGAACGACAGCGAATATTGTCAACCGACAGAATGCAGACTGCAAATGACATAGCTTTTTTGTTTGAGACGTTCTTTTGTTGTATTCGCTAACGTATAATGCAACCAAATTGCTCCATTTTTAAACTTTCATTATGCAAAAAAGGTGGCTAGTGCAGTCAAGGTATTAGACGAAGTTCGTAATAGCTTAACATTATGAAGATGTATGTAAACAGCCAAAAATACATGTAAAATTGACTGAAGGCTGAATTGAAATATTATTTTTTTTTTTTTTAGAAAATTCTATTAATTAAGTCGATGCCTATTATGGTGATTGTGAACCAAATTCCTTTGTGTTATTTCCATGTAGGAACCATACATAGTTTCGTATGAGCCGAAAATGGACTTGAGGAAAATCGATTGACTCGGCATGCACAAAGCCGCGTGCCGAAATGGTCAATACTGAGAATATTACATGGAACATGTGTAAATTATAGGTGGTAGATAGCAATGTCAAGAAAGGAGGTTTAGTTATTTCATACATAAAAAGGTAAGAAAGATAAGGAATTATGTAATTATCGACAAAATATATCAACTTATCAAGAGGAATTCAGTGCAGTATAATATGCTGATTTCGCATTAGATCTGAATGTAACCTCATCGCATTGTCTTCGTCTTGTATCTAAATCTGAAGTCAATGTTCTTAGGTCTCATGTAAGAGGGGGAATAGGAAGTTCGCTATTGTCCATTTCTTACTTGAGAGAATAACATACTCCAACAACTCATACTGCGAAATACACCAATAACAGACATAACGTGGATAGCAGTGATGATTCATATCTTTGTCAAAAAGCCAACAGTTCGGCACATGGTTTAGTGAAATTATGTATTGTGATAGAATCTAGAAATAAAGTTCAATTTTGTTTTGTTTCAATTATTATATCATATTCCTTTATATTGGAGAAAAACTTTTCTGTAAGCCAAGTATTACAATACCTCAAAATTGGGAGTTACCCAGATTCATTAAGATTCGATTAAAAGTGTATGCATATTCTAATATTTCAAACGTGTGTTCCATGTGTAGTATGGTTACTTTTAGTAATGCTTAAAATCGTTTTATCATATCATAATCGTAATTTAATTTAGAAACGCCTATGAAAAAATTAAAAAATAAATATTGAATCATTCCCGTTTACAGTAACTTGTAAATAAAATGTATTGATTGGTAAACACCTACACGATATTTGAAAGGTCCGTCCAACCGTCTGTTTTTTGGTAAAGAATTCTATAAAGTTTTATATTTTTTTATACTAATTATTCGATACATGCAGGACGATGCAGTCGTTGTATATTGTTTCAAGTGTTTGACATTTTGGACGCGTAACAAACGGGAGATAACCTATTTTAAGTTAAAATTTACTAAAAACAATTAAATAGACCTCAGATTATTTATACTTTGTCAATAAAAAAATACAATAAATCGAATACGTCTACAGAAAACTTAACATAGTCTTTGTAACGACTGTAATGTGTATTGGTTAGCGTATAATCCAATCAAATTTCTGCATTGACCTTGTTATAAAAATTACATAAATGTGTGCGTATATAGTCATCGCCCCTGCTTTTCTGTTTGTTTGTCTGTCTGTCAGTCTGTCCACAATTGCTGGTTTCTTGACGGATTTTGATGAAACTTGGTATGATTGTTTGCAATCACCCAATGATGAACCCTACTGAAAATAAGAAAAATTTAAGTTATTGACCTTGACGGATTTAGACGAAACTTTGTGATATTGAATATTATTACTAAGGACGTACCCTATTGAAAATAAAACGAGGAAGATAGAAAAATGCTGTGGAACTCTAATATGAAAATACCCCGGACGACTTGGCTGCCATTACAATAAAATCGCTATCTGTAGGGAAATGTTAATAATTTAAAAGTAAAATGTATGTGTTCGTTATACCGCTCCTTAGGGTAGATATTCGAAAAAACCTTTGTCCTTTGATTATACTCCCAATTTGGAGTGGTATTATTATCCTATGAGTTATCAGGTCACATTACTCCGTCGTATTTTCGCGTTTCGAATCGATATTTATATGTAGCAATAGAGGCAAATACAAATATTTAGCAATTGATTTAACAAGAAGTGGAGTGTCATGATACATGTAATTAATTGCTCTATAGTAATGTCCTACTAGGAAATATACCTCTGTCGATTTCCTTGAAACTTGGCATGGATCGAACTAGGTTTAGTGAAACCGAGAGTTGTTTTTTGGCCCAGGAAGAAAGACAAAAAAAAATTGATGACAACTTAGATCCGTTTTGGCCAAACTCTTGGTATTGATATTTCCCGGATTAGCCATGTAACCATGCAGAGGATGTCAAGATGGGGTTCCTTATTTTTTAGTGTCAAATTAAGCAAACTATTTAATTAATTGGTGTTTCTAATGAATTATCACTTATTCTTAATCATATCAATATGTTCTTTTTGCATATAATTAAGGGTTTTAACCAATCATAAATGGCCATGTAGGTACTGTCTGGATAAACAAAAATAAGACTTTTTGACCTTTCATGATCGGTCACTCATTAGAATTCGGCTGTTAATTCTCTTCTAATTCAGCTAATTATGAATTAGTCATGGACATTTGAGATAAACTGGTATTTTTCCAAGTCATTAGAACACCTCTACTTTCTATTCACATAAGTATTAATATTTTGATTTTTCATAAATGAAAATGAGGGAACCCATCTTTAAGTTTCCAAGCTCGGTTTGTGTTACATCTACATACGGACTAAGACCGGTATTTCATTTGTCATCTATTTCCATGAAATCACGAAATTCAACTTCTATAACTTTTTCCAGAAATCTCGTTGAAAATTTTCCAATACGTCACATGAAAGCCTTGCCAAATTCAATATATCATGACCACAACATTGAATCAACACCCGCTTGACTGTCCCAGACAAAAAAAGACTATTTTTAGAATTATATCCTTCCGCATGAAAATCTCTCACCATCTCACAAAATCTGGAAGAAAATGCAATTTCACACATCAACTTTCAAATCTAGACAAAAAATTAGTCAAAAATAGGCATTCAAAAATCCAAAATAAGGGAGAAAGAGGATTTTAGTGGTCTGAGTCCTGTATATCTACATTCAAATATAAGATAAGAAATATGATAGATCGGACAAGGTGTACTATAGCCGTTGGTCAGTGATAGGATAAGTAATATCTATCAATAATTGCTCTACTTTCATTGGGGTCGTTTTTGGATATTTCCTCGCCTTGGAATCCGCAAAAAGGATCGACCTCTTAAGCAAAATGAACAGAGCGGAATACAGCATCTTAAAAGTTTTATGTAAGTTAAGTCATTAAGTTAAATAGTATTATCTTATAATTACTATGAGATTTTCTTTAAGTTATAGGTCTGTCTCATTCTACTGATAACTGACATACTAAATATACTATCCTGCTTTCGCGTGAATTGGAGGCCAACATAATTGTATCATTCTAGACTACAATTGTATATTTCATTTGAAACACGGTTCATCCTATAATGTCTGCCATTTCATTCTTATTTTACTCAGTACTGGAAATGTATTTGATAACCTTCATATAATGGATTGGATATATATATATTTATGTAGGCCTATTGCAAGGTAAGCCGAATTGTGTTTAGTATACAATAGTGTTCGGCATTCTATGACATATATCAACTTTTGACCTAATGGCATAATTTGATATGCACTACTCTTGATTGGATGTTTCCTGGTCAGTAGCGGCGCCAGTGGTGTTAGTCCGTGGGAGGATGCACCAGAATGCACAAAACCAATTCTATTTTTCAATAAGTTTTCTTATGCCTACGCACTTCCAAAGAGCTGCGCATGTTGGATGGTCGCAGCTGCTCTTGGTATCATTTTTCGTACCAACAAGCCATACACACGTGGTTTTTAATTTCAATAGGAAGTAGAGTTTTATTTTAAAAATTTGAACTATATGTTAAATGTTACAGGTTATAATGACCCAATGCATCCGAATTCATTACATCAGCTATAATATAACTAATACAGAACAGTTCACATTTTTTCAAATCAAACTAGGATTTAATAAACCATTGGTATATCCATACAATGCTATCATCTTTATTTTCCCTTCCCCTATCATTCATAATGTGACAAGATTCTCTTTAAAGTATGTACAGTTGAATTTGAACCCAATAGCATCATAAAAGGTCATGGTATGCGAAACAATAATAAAGTGGTTAAATAAAACAAATTATTTTATTGAACAGTACATTTGAGAGTAGGAACCGGAACTTGTCAGATCATGGATGACTGTAGTTTATCTGCAGAAAAAAAAAAACACAAAACAAAAATATGAATTTTATTCATTTATTCAGAATAATGTTTTTTGTAAAGTTGTATCAATCTAAAGCTATCGATTTCGGAATATTTAATTAAGATTTAGGAAAGAACCTAAAAGAATGAGAACTAATGAGTTGAAATCATGTAGCCATGAAGATGTTCAATTAAGTGCTCCATTGTTGCATTTTTGTTTTAAATCTATGACCATTGTTTTGTTTTTCAGGAGACTCTGAAGGTCTGTGAATCATTGAGGAACGACAATGATCTGGAAGAAGTTTAAAAACATCATTTTGCCATACTTCGGTATAAAATTCAGATTGTTCTTCTGTGTGGTCTTGTACATCATAATATACAGAGTGTCATACGAGTATTGGTTGGAAAACAGAATCACTTTTATACCTCGTTTAAAAGTGACATCGTATATGTTGGATACTGAAGGATGTAGGATTCCGTCTTATGACCCATTTCACCCAGGCTTGAATGAATACTTTGGTTTAGATGCAAACATAATCAAATGTATAGATAAGATTCCATTAACATATCAAAAAAATGTGACACTAAAATTAAATGAATCTGTTCGCGATACAATACCGAATTTCGCTTACTGCCAATATGAAGCGATCCTTCGTGTGCCTGGAACAGACGATGAAGTAAATTACTCCACTCCGATTGTTTTCAATAAGGATATCAATGTTTCAGATGAGTTTCTGCGAGTTTACTGCTTTGATAAAGCAGGTTGGAATATATACAGAAATTTTCATGCCTTTCTCATTCCAAAGCCAAAGAAATTGAATACATTAAAACAACGACACCAACAAAGACAACTGAAAGACTCTCCAAAAGAAGTTTTAGACGTAATGATGATAGGTATTGACTCAATCTCTCGTTTCAATCATATTGTCAAAATGCCTAAAACTCGTGACTTTCTCCTGACCAATCTTTCAGCCATTGAGTTGGAAGGTTATAATAAAGTGGCTGATAATACAGTTGTTAATTTAACACCAATGTTCACTGGTAATTTCCTTTCCGAGGAACATCAGCGTCTTAATATCTCAGATAGAAAATCTTCTTTTGTTGATGATTTCAATTTCATCTTAAAAAATTATTCCAAAATGGGTTACGCACTACTTTTTGCAGAAGACCATCCTTTGATTTCTATATATAACTACAAAGCTCATGGTTTCAAGAACCCTCCAACAGACTATTACTTTCGACCATTCACTCTGTCGCTTGATGATGATTCTTCAGTATGGAATAATGGATTCTGTATTTTGAATCGCCCAGAAACGAACATAGTATTAGATTATTCATCAGATTTTATGAACTATGTTAAAGATGTGCCAAAATTTTCATTTACATTCAATACGCGATTAACTCACGACAGCATAGAAATACTTACTACTGCCGATTTATATTATTATGAATTTTTGGTCAGGACGTTTCAAAGTGGGGTTTTAAATAATACGATCTTAATGTTTTTTGGTGATCATGGATATCGCTTTGGAAAGATCATGAAAACAGATTATGGAAGAATACAAAGTCGCCTACCAATGATGTATATTGTCTTTCCAACTTGGTTTTCTAACAGATATCCCGACATATATAAAAATGTCGTGACTAATAGCAAACGGTTGACCACGCCGTTTGATATTCACGAATTTCTAAAGGACATCTTAGACTTCACTGGTGTTCCAAGAAAAACATGCTCAGTGGGCCAACGTGGTATAAGCCTTTTTGATTGCATTCCAGAATTTAGGAGATGTGAAGACGCACAAATTCCTCTTCATTATTGTACTTGCAAATATAAAGATGTTGAAGGGTTTTCCATTGGTGACGAAATTGTACAAAGAGCTTCACAATACCTAGTTGATTTAATAAACAAAAATATTTCTCCGTTCCGACAATGTTCTCAATTAAAATTAGCTTCAATAATCAGCGCCAGAGTGTCTGTTACAAACTACAATTTAAACATCACTTATCAAGATATTTTACAAAAGTTGGATACAAAATGGCGGGAAAAGGACTGTTTGATGTTCGGGATAGTGATCAAAACGACACCTGGTGATGGTATGTTCGATGCCACTGTGATGTATAAATTAAAGCTAAAGAAATTCTTTACCTCCTTGGAAAGTATAGATAGAATAAATAGGTATGATTCTGATGGGGATTGTGTAACACCTAATATGAGGTCTTTTTGTTACTGCTCCTAAATCCTGGGCGTGGGTTCAATAAGGGATCAAAATGTCTCAGATAATCAGTGAAACACTTTTCTCCATAATGAAGCTTATTAAATACTATCTATAATTACCGTTACATTTCAAGAGAGTAATTTAATTATTATGGAACTATGAATATAATGTGACAAAAGTTCACCAAGTGCTCTTATTAATTTTTCTTCCATTTTCTTTTTCACCTTTTCAATTTTTGTTCAAGTGATACCTGTATAATGAATGTTTAAAATATTGTCAATCAAAATATCCAAAGAACATCATCATCATCATTATCATCATTATTATCATTATTATCATCATTATCATCACGGCTGTGATAGTTTTTTTTAGATTGTAGCTTCTACTCTTGTATTTGATTCCAAAAGCTTTTTTTGCAAATTTTAAACGTATCAAATTTTAATCTTTACATTGCAAAATCATGATGTTTTAATGCGAATTCTTTGCCCATTTGCCAACTGGAACTACTATGGTCTAAACTTTAACATATTGTCAATCTGAAAATAATGATAGCATAAAGCAAACTTTCGACTATTGTAAAACAGACTCTTACTATCAATGATCAGTGACAGTGTTGGAAAAGATCTAGCAATAATAATGTGGTACTATAATGATTTCACGTCAGGGTCTAGCTGTTTTCTGGCAACGAAAATATTATGCTAAAGACAATGATATAAAATATTTGGCTTCCTAAAGTTTTAGTCTGTGCAACAAATTCAGTGGCATTCTTATTTTTAAGCGCTCACTGAATTGTAGAGCGTACATTGTCTTCACCCATATCCGACGGTCCATCCGTAACAAGAAAGCATAATACTTTACAGAATTTGGATAAAATTTGTTGAAAAGATGAAACTCTATCGAAAATAAAATAAATCGGAAAGTATATGAGATATTCTCAACAATCTTTGAAACACGTACATTTAATTATGGATTTTGAGAAACTTGGTGAAATTATTGATACACGTATTGATAGAAATTAAAGAAGTTAAATTAAAGAAGGTAATGCATGAATGAATTTAAGGCGTATGCTGGTTTTGCCAAATGTTCTGATGTAAAGGAAAGCTACCAATGGGCGTGGCAAGCTATATTTGATTTGAATATTAAATTATTTTTTAAAAATTTGACTTCATTTATTCCATTTTATGTGTGTTCATTTGATGACCCACTGGACCTCGAATGCTGTTGCGGATCATGTAATGTAATACCGTGAACTCAAGGTTATAATGAAGTGTAGCAATACATTGGTGACTGTAAATGAACTATTTATTACAGGAAGTAACAATAACGAAAAATTTTAACGTAAAAATAGTGCTCAATACACAATTATTTTTTTTTTTATCAGAAGTGGTCTTTTGTCAATTATCTCAAATCTACATCAATATTGGTCACGATGTAGCCAAAAACAATCTATTTGCCTCCCTTTAATAGCCCATCTTCCTCTCACTTGTAAAAATATTGTCTCCAAAGTAGGATAAAAGTCAATTAAAGTTTATTGTCGAATATGGACAACGAAACAGTTTTTTTGTATAAAAACATATACATACATACAAGTATGTACATAATGAACGTCCTTCTTTCTGCAAAGAAGTCGGACATCGCCATGCACTGTGCAATGAGGGATTTTTTGTTAGGAAAGCGGTATAAGCCTAGATTTTCAACTGTCAAGTGATCTTCAATGCGAATGACTAAATGATTCTACGATTAAATTGAAACGTGAAATAGGGTGGAAGGAAGAATAGACAATGTAGAGTATGGGAAGTAATGAGGAAGATGAGGGTTAATTAAAAAAGGAGAGTACTAATCGATGATTAAACAGTTGCTGGTGTTAGGCTTTATAATGACTCGATATTATTAGTTGAAACGTTTAGAATACGCTAGAGACATATTTAGTGGAGTACCTTTTAAACAGCTTTCAAAAGAATGACCGACTTTAAAAGTTAATGTAAATTTACGTTTTAAATATTTTTTGGGTCAAAAAAATCAACGGCTAGATTTTTTTAGTTAAAATTTTAAAATGGACACGTATCTCTTGATTTTGGTGACTAGTTTTGAAAAATTTGAGCACAAAAAATTTTTACCTTAAAAAAATAACCCAAAAGCTATTTATGGGATAAACCTGCAGTTTAAAACCCTGCATGCTATACATGCAATGACAAAGAAGAGAAGAGAAAAGAAACATTAATTTTTGACAATGCCTTTCTCTCATAATAAAAAAATAAAAAAGAAGAAGGACTTAGATTAGGTACTATCTAGATTGGAATATTTTACTCATAATAAATCGTTTTATTGTGAGATTAATTTCCATCCTTAAAAATGGAAACGAATTTAAAGGAATAGGTTCGCCATCTGTTTGACCAATAGAACCTTAGTCTCAGAAACGGTAATATTTTAGCTAAGCTAATCAGTAATAGTGTTCAGCTCACCGACGAGATTTTAGCCTTCAAATCCATGTTTGTCCAGATAAATCCGCGTTTGTAAGTTAAAATGACGACTGTCTTTTTCTTGAGACTCTGTCATAGATAGAAAAGACATATATATACAACTCTTTTATATTTAAGTATTATGAAGGCTAATATAAAATCTAATTTGAATATAAAATCTAATTTGAGTCTTGTCTTGTATTTTTAATTTTGACAGATAGGCATTGTCAAAAATTAATGTGTCTTTTCTTTTCTGTTTTAAACTGCAGGTTAATACACAAATAATCTTATCAATTTAACATAATTAAGTTCGCGAACCAAATAGGGTTCTTTTATGTTCAATACTAGAGTTGCCAAAATGTTTAGTCCGTTGTAAAAGTGAAAAAAGTGAAATCGAGAGTGCAATTATAGAAATTTTACCCGTACATCAACCTTGTGCCAGTCTTTTAATATCTAACTTTCAAGAGATGAAAAACACGGCCTAATAGTCAAATCTGAACAACGAAACACTTACTGCATAAAACATAATTATAAATACATGCATATATAATGAACTTCCAACTTTCTGCCATGCATGAACTAAGTATTGTATGCATGCGGTACCTTTTGTCGGGACAACGACATTAACCTATTTTTTTTTTTTTCAATTTGTCAAGTGATCTTCAACATGCATATCCGAATGACGAGACGCTTTAACATCAATGACACGGGGATATCCGAGTTGAAAGATCCAAGGTCATATCTCAACCTGTACCCAGATTGAATCATAGACCCCCAGGTAACCAAACAGCCGTCAAACTGCAGTACTCAACCATTGCGAACCCAATAGTCAGTATTAAAGGGAAGTAACAAGTACAATACTAAGTGAGCAAACCCTTTACTTTTGTGATTTTAGAAACCCTTTACTTTTGTGATTAGTTTTACAGTCCTACATCACTGACTGCTTTTTGTGACTTTGTGTGTTCGTGATTTTATTATCGCCGTTGCCAATTCATTGGCAATATACATATCTTGCGATGTATATTATTCTACACAAAATTTGTCTCAAGCATTTTGAACATCAGCATAGAGCTCCCGATACCAAATTCGAAACATAGGCCTAGTATAATTGATGAAGGGCATGCTCGCCCTTTGCAGAGTTTCTGCTTAACTGGGTTTGGATGGGTTTAACTGTGCGATTTCTTTGAGTATGTGGATATGTTTCTGTTGATTTTTTTTAAACTCGAGTATGAGCTTGTACACACTAAGTTTGAGAAATTCCTTTGAAATAAGTGATTATTAAATTTCGTGGTAGATTCCTTTTACCTTGTTTGTATAGGTCTGTGATAAAAGAACCATACTACTATTGTATACCAATTAAAAAATCTTAAACTGTTGATTTTGTTGATCAAGTTTATTCAAAGCAAATCATAAGCTCCAGAATACTACCTAGCTCTTAGAATGGACAAAAAATTTTAAGTCACAAACTTGGTCACCAAGTGTATATATATTCAACAGTTAGACTTACCAGTTGACATGAATAAAGAATAATCTCTATATTAGATATCCATTAAACTAAATAATAATTGAAATTCTAAGACTGTTCCAAAATTACTTAATTTAATGAATTATTACTTAGTTTTATAGAGTTATTGGATTACAGAGGGATTCTGTTTTATAGTTCTGACACCAGGTATGTCCACTGATGAACAAAGACTCATTTTAACCAAGTTTATTAATTTCAATTATTTGGTCATCCTGAGAGGAAGTATACCTTTCAAATAAATGATTAACCATAATGATTTGCCAATAATGAGTCACCTAAACAGGTAAATTATCATATATCATTATTACAACCTGTCAATATATTGGATGGTGAGATGATGTCATAAACAGCTGTTACAGGCAAGATACCTTTTACTTCATATTCAATAATATTCTCATGATTTTCGTATGCCAAGATAGACGATACTCAAAATTGTTAAACTTCATTTGGGTGTACGATTATACAACTTCAAACACATTGAATTCTTCACAAATTGATTGCCTATATACCATAATATATAATAATATATGCTAAGGTTATATGTAATTATGTAAATACAAATCCAAAATATTTATAAAATACCTTGTAACTACTGAAAATATGTGATAAGATCAAAAGGATGAAAAATGGAAAAGTTTAAGAGATTCTTATTAACACCATTCTCTTGTGATAATATATATGTCTGATATTCGGATAGCCTCAAGTGATTTCATTCTCATTTGGTTTAAAAAATTGTCGGTGGTGCAAAATTGTCGAGTAGTGTTGTATTCATGCATTGAACGTTCAGTTAAATGTTTCTAACCTACAGCGGAAATTTGTCATGGGAAAGGACGAAAAGACACACCTACCCTTGTGACGATAAAATTAACCACACTCCTACACTTATTGATAAGATCTATTCAGATTTGTTAAGCCTTCAGATATCTGTCGATTAACCTGTTATTTCAATATTTGATTTAATATTTTACAAAAATCAGATCATTCTACAAAAATATTCCACAGTCTTATCTTTACCAACTTATCAATATACA